TTTATTAATAGGTCCGGGACCGTCCTAATAGATCCTGGGATCGGACCGGACCGGATTCGCAATTTAACATCCCTAACTAAATCATCATGTCAACCACCTTTGAAACTATTCTCAATTTGCTTTCGTGTCTTTCTAACATCGAAAATGAAAATAAATTGTCAGAAGAGGAACTTAGCCGATTATTTTGACAAAAATGTGAATAAACTAGCTAAGATATTGCCAGCTTTAAATAGTTTTCCAAATGATAACATTCGACTCAAGTATTTGAGGTCTTGAAGTCCGGTATAACTTCGAAAATTAAGCTCAACATTTGATAGACTCTTCAAATGCCAATATTCCCAATCTAAACTATATTGTTAATGTCGATTTTGTATCTTTCTTTTTGCAGCTCCGTTTGCATATTCTTCGCCATCTAATACTAAAGGTGATGATAACCTTGGTTTGGATAGTGACGATACAAAGATAATAGCTTTGATAAAGAAGGAAATGGAGATGATGAATTTCTTAAAAACATGAAAAATTACAAACGCAATCAAATTTCTTTCGGTAATTTATTGGGAGTTGGTCGATCTGGTTCTATTTTTGAATCCAAGTTTTATCGTTATGAAGAAATAGGTGCCCTTAAAATGGTAGACTTGTATAAAAATGAGTATCTAGTAACCGAATTGTTAAACGAAATTAAAATTTACCTCGGTCCTCTTATGGATATTCAAGAAATTTTCATACCAAAACTTCTGAAATATGAAGTTCTTCACGAAGCATTTGTTTTTCTTTTTGTTTCATTTGCCGGAAAATCGGTTGCAGAATTAGAGAATGAGGTCACATTAAAAGAGAAAGAATTGGCCATTTTAAGCTTACAAATGATTCATGAAAGAGGAGTAAAGCATGGTGATATTCGATTGGAAAATATAATGATAAACAGAGATGAATTGACAGGTAAAACTTCAGTATGGTGGATCGATTTTGCATGGAGCAAAATGGGATGCGACGAAAAGTTCTGAACAAGGAATTGATTGAATTGAAACGTTTACTTGGTATGTCAGGTTAAGATGTACGTATTAAAATTGCATGTGAGATTCAAAGATTACTGAACTTTTGAATTCATTAGAATATTACAATGCACAGTACATATATATTAACGTTTTAACAATAGGTTATATAAAAAATCATGTATAACTGGTTAGTCAAACTTGATGCAATAAATTTTGCGTGTGGTTATAAAGCTATATTTTAATACTGTAGAAAGTAATTTTGGGACGTTACAAAAGTAAAAATAGAGATCTATATAAAAATCTTGAAATTTTATGCCCTTATAACTTCGACTTACATATAAAAACTTAAGTGTGAGGTATGATATGGAAATTTGACATATTAATTATCAATGATCATATACAAATCAGGCAAGGTCATGTTCCTCTATTCGATTAGAAGAGTCAAAAAATCTCGAGTTATTAAATTTTAACTTCATATTCGTGTGCTCACAAGTTAGTATTCAAAAGTTTATACTGAATATATTTTCATATATTTAAAGTTTCGAGTATTAAAATAAATAAATTATAAATGGCAAAGTACGATAATCTAAAAAATTCTCATTAGGGCTGATCAGTTGAAACGTTATTCAGAGTTATAATTTAATTTATACTAACTATATATATCGTAAAATTCTATTATCGTTATTAATTTCAAAACAATTGTCTAATTTTATTCTCAAATATTACGAGATAGCTTAGTTGAGATTTAACAATATGTCGTATTATTTTTAAGCATAGATATCATTATGGATGAAGTAATTCAATCCAAATGGTATTTGAATATGCTGAAAATGGAGATTCTGGTGAACTATATAAATTTGGATTCTGTTACCATTATGACAAAAGTACTGTAAAGGATGAAAAAGGCATTTGAATGGTATTTAAAATCTGCCAAAGGCATAATTTATTTTGAACAGTGTAACATTTGGATTCTGCTACAGAAATAGTATAGGCATAGATAAGCATTCGAGTGATACTTAAATCTGCTGAAAGTGGCAATTCTCTTAGACTTACATTGCAATTCGCATTTTTTTAGGCTTATAATAGAAGCATATTAATCTCTTCTCAAACTCGCTAATTGTGCTAGTAAGAAGTTGACAAATAAATATAATAGGGGGTTACAGAGTTAACTTATTTTGAAAATAAGTGGGAGTTCTATTTTTGGTTTGAAATTTCGAAATCAGAAAATGAAAAAGGAATTATCCGGAGATAAAATAAACAAGCTTTTTTTTAATGATGTATATTACTTTGCGGAAATCTTACATTTTTGCGAAAGCGACAAAATATCCTAGATTTAGCGTAAATTATTAATAATATAAGC